CAAGCAAATTTTCTGGAACATTTGGGATTTAGAAATTTGAGGAGTGTTTAAATGGATCTGGAGTTTCCTGTCTTCCGCAGAGCAGTGTCGTTGTTGCCGATTTAACCTCCGAATGTGCTGAAATGGAAAGTGGCGTCCCGCAAAAGGTTCTGCTTTACGCCCAATGCTCTTTCTGATTTAAGCCAATGGTTGCAACAGCTGCCTAAATTGCAAGTCTCCCACGCCCATAGATGGCATCAAAATGCGGAATTAAGTCAACTTTTAGGTGATATATAGAAATTGTAATCAAACATTGACAAACTGACTGTTTGGTCAGAAAAATGACTTCTACAATTCAGTATGTCCAAATGCTTGGCCCTACACCTGAACGCTAGTTGAAACGCCTCTTCAGAACATCAGTATTATACCAAATGGACTTAAATAAAGGGTATATAAAAGCACAGGCGTCTGGGTATGTAGAAACCCACAAATTTAATGCCACCAGAACACTGTAAGGAAATAATCCGGAAGGCAACTGGGGGCGGTTCGACCGCCTCATCCGACGATGTCCACCGTGTGCCCCACAGCAAGGTCAATCTAACACGGTGTCTCGCGCGTAAATTAGTTTGCGCAGATTTTCGTGAATGCGCATGTGACCTTATAAGTCCACGTGGTGAGTGAATTTACAGGAGCATTGAGGGCAGTAGAGACGGGTACGATGGATGTTGACTGGTGCTACAGGCACTGGTTCGCCAGTCCCCTCGAGATAGATTCACAGGTGACCGACCAGGCCGATGCGCGAGGTGAATGGGTGATCGCAATGGGGACTGGTATGAACTGAGTCCACATCGCAGGAGGTGGGAGTGGTGGCGGCGATGGTAGAGCGTAGTGGGACATCAGACGCCGTCCCATCGGTGGGAAAAGTGCCTGAAGTCGTGGTAATGGTGATGCTGGCCGCGGCGGTAGACGCAGGGCTTGGAGCAGGGCGGACAGGGTCGGTGGATGGTGGCGGCGGGACAACGACAATGTGATTAGCGTTGACGGGAGTGGGTGTCAGTGCGGGGCTTGCAGTAGGGGGCGAGAGTGGGAGAGGAGGTAGATGTTGTCGGGTTGGTGACGCATTGGGTCAGAAGGTGTTCAACGAGACTGATTCGTGCGCGGAATGCGCGTTGGCAGTGGGGGCATTTTGAAAGGGGAGGATAGCTGACATTGAGGCGGCGATACAGTTGTGATTTGCGAATCCCCCGTATGTCTTTGGTGGCGGCAACCCAATTTACTTCGTACACGGCAGCACCAGTCTTCACTTCTCTTCTCCAGGTCGGTCCCTTCTTGGCGAGAACCTTCAGGTCTCTGGATTGATGTGTAATCCCCAAACAGAATTCTTCAGTGTTCTTGTAGCGCCACTTTGGACCTCCCGGTTGGCGAGCGCCGGTGGCGACATCGCCATAGGTTTGTTTTGGTAAACGTATATCTTCCACCCTCACAAGATGGTCGATTCAGTGTAGTTGGAGTTGCCACAGCATGGCGTGGATGCCGATTGTTCCGGTCTGTTCTGAAACTTCCATGTCGAGGATCTTGTCTTGTCATCTCAGCTTCAGTATTCCGCGAAATTGGTTGAGATGGAAGTGGCTGAGTTTCTGTGTAAGGTACTAGTAGGCGGTCCAGGTCCCCTCTTCGTGTAGCATATCGCCAGCACGACTGTCTTGCACTTCTTCAATTTGGTGTTTATTTGCATGTCATGGCAATTTCACACTAAGTTCTGTAGCCGGCCGAAGGCTTGTCTGGCTGCGGAGGTCAGGTGCACCAATTCTCCGTCGATTCTGATGCAGGGTGACATTGTGCTGCTTAATTAGTTAAAGTTACTTACGGTCTTCAGTTGGGTGCATTTGACGCGGATGCAGGAAAACAGCACTCAGCGTTCGATGGCTGTTGATGCATGATCACCGTCTTGTCCATATGGATGGTTAGTCTGAAGTGGATGCAGCCGGGGCAAAGAGATCCATTCGTCGTTGCGTGCCTTCTTCGGTCGTCCTTCGTTCCGGCTGGTTGCTCCTGGGAGTATCTAAAAGGGGACGAGTATTCTATACTGCCAGAATGACGAACTCACCCTAGCAGCCTGAGGGGTGGGGCGTAGGGGAGTAGAAGGAGAAAGAGAGAGCGTATTTTGTCTTGTGTTTTTGTTTCGATCGCATATTAAGCAGTCCGAGGGCACATCTGTGCGCAGATGTCGTGAACCCAGATTCGTTTGAGGCACCTTTCACTTTCCTCTCCCCCTCACGTGGAAAAACAGTGCTAACATTCATCCATGAACTTTGGAAGAAATCACACAGGCCACAAGAATTACGGTGTGTCAGTAATCCTTCCGAACGGACTTGCGAAAAATAGAAGCATAAAATATATTTTTGAAAAAAAGGCTATCGGCTTCGAATTCCAATGCAAACAGTTTTGTCATGGTCTTAACTCGCGACCAGGTCTTAAGATGACGGTGACAAGACAGAAAACCTCTGCAGGAAAGTATTCTATGTATGCTGAAACTTCGAGTTGCAAAAGCAACAGTCCGATTCCTCAGTATAAGCTCGAATCTAGTGCGACGGGACAAAAATTGTGACTTGGAAGTCTTTTGAATGCCGCGGCAAGTCGTTGCGCATTGAAAATAGTTTTTGCATATTGGATGACAGGCCGGTGGATAACAGATATTGTCAATGCCTAGTTCCTAATGTGGTCCCTATGGCACACCTCCTCGTCTGTGGTCCGGTCCATCCCATTTCTGCCAATGCCTGATGTATTTTACGGGCGTAGATGGGCCGCTTAGCCTTCTCAGCCACTGCGTCCAACATCGCCTAAGGACGTTCAGACTGTGTCTTACAGGAGGACTCAGATGGGCAAGTAAACAGTGGGTGTATAAAATGTTGCGCAATTATGCTGTCAATGTAGGCTGACCCGCGGCAAGTCGCTGACCTGCGCCCGCCTTGCTCTGGGGCACACGGCCGACGATGACGTTCTCCATGGTCGGACAGTCATCTCAAAGTATCATGGAAATGTTCTTAGTTTGATAACTTGGTTAGGGCAAATGCATCGCAGGGAGCATCATTTGCAGTAATTTCTCAAATGAGACTGTGAAATATGTCGATCTGATATGCCTGACAAATCTGGAAGGATATTTCCACCCATGTTCTTATATGCTTCTCGTTTGCCTTCTTTAAACAAAAACCCTGAAGCCTTATTTGAGGTGTGCCTGTTCTATGGCATCTGTATTAGCAGCTTTTCATCGCTTCAACAAAATCACTATTAATTGTCTTTCATTGCCATTCCATTGCATACCATTTGAACCTCTTGTTCGTACAGCGTGATCGGTTTGATTTTAAGTTCTCGCATACACTTGATGAACAAGCTGCGCAACTAAAAATTACCAAACACAATTTCAATTGCCACCTTGAGCATTTTGTTTTAGTTGTTTCGTTGCTATGTATTTAGATGGGTGGCAATCTGATTTTTTGTCCTCGTTGATGCGCTTGTCAGTGGCAACCTCATAAACCAGCGCTCAAAAATTCAACCAATGGACCAACTCACAGGAAGAGAAAATAAGCTGAAAGCGCATCCTCTGTGTACGAGAATATAACTTCGAACACCATCGAGGAAACAGTCGTTCCCGACGCACTTTAAGTGTCGTGAACACATTCTGCTCGATTACGCAAATGATTTAAACAGCATCATCCACCAATCGGGTCGGCCGATATCCAATTAACACAAGGCCGGCCTCCCATTGGACAAGTACTTGAACATACTTTGTCGGGCTTTTAACGGCAAGATGAGAATAAGTGAAATATATGACGTACAGACTAGTTTACGGGCTTATCTCTTCAGATAACATCAGTCCTCGGAAAAACGCGCCATATTAAATCAGAACTTGCAGTACACAAGTTTTCGGAGGAGACTTTCGTTATAAAGAGGGTATTAGACATTCGTCCTGAGTGTTTCAGATTGAATGTAAAGATGAGCAACATGCGAATGACGCCTTCGAAGAAGTACTACTTTCTGATTGTTTATGAACAATGCTAAAGGTCCTTAAGATAAGGGCGTTTAAGCACGAACTTTTCGCCGAGATCAAAGATGTTTTCATACAATGGGACCAAAGGGTATTTTTTCTCAAAGCATAGTCTATTATTAGATGCCAACGTTTCACCTGTATATAATAAGACAGTACATGAAAATGCCAAGCC